TAGAGTTAAAAAATATGGAATGCTTCACGAATTTGTGTGTCATTCTTGTTCAGGGGCCATGCTAATCTTCTCTGTATCTTTCCAATTTTAGCATATGTGCTGCTGAAGTGAGCACCCATCATTCTATTTCTTAGGAAACAGTTCTTCAGAAAATAATGTAATTTGTTCTTGTCATATGCTTCCCTGGTTTGACCACTGGGTGATTTTTTTCCATCTTCTAAAATGACATTTCTTTGTAACCCAAATTATTCTGAGTGTGGTATCAGTGAATCAGGTACATTTTCATTAGCTTCTAGTGGCTGCCATTGAATATAGAAATATTTGCTGAACGAATGAACAGTGGGATGATGATTAAATACAATTAGATAATAGTTTATGAGCTTAGATGAGAACGATTTCTAAAGTTTCCATTGCATTTGTTTTAGAAGATTAAGTGGCTTGTTTGAAGCTTTCTGTCTAATGGCTTTGGCATATTATACCACAAACAATTAATTCTTCTCCTTAGCCAAAGCACACGTACCTTAATGGCCAGAAGTTCGGATTGGCAAACGTATTTGTTAAATATGGCTCATGCTAATGATAGCAAGTCATTACCATTTGGCATGCCTCCTTGAACTTTAAACAAACTTCATGAGTATAAATGCATCTCCAGTTTCAGATATTAATAGAAAAAACTAATTAAACATAATTTCCAGAGATATGCCAGGCTTGAAGCTAGATGACACACAGGCCAGTGACCTGTGTGAACTTGAGCAAAGAACAACACCTCTCTTGTCCTTTATTGATAACTCAGGAGGCTGTTGTGAGAAAAGAAAAACAAAGTGGTCTACACATATAAGGTTTTTCACTCGTTAAATTGTAAAAGGTAATAGTTGGGTTATTGACTTTTGTTAGTGTCTATATGACAGTGAGACTGTTAATGCCAAAATAATAGGCACTGGCCCATGTTTTCCTTGTTACCATATCTGGCTCTATCAGGGTAATTCATGTGCTTGCTTCAAAGCAGTTGGATATGCCAGAGATAAAAAGTCAAATGAAAACGTTTATAGTCTTTAGTCAACCCCAGGGATCTATTTAGTCTATAACTCTTGTATGTTTATTAGAAACCAACTTGACATATAAAATGATGCTTGCTTCCCTCGCTCCTTTTTTCTCTCTTCCTTCTTTTTCTCTTTCCCTCCCTCTTTCCATCCTTCTTTAAAAAGAAGCTGTTCACAGTCCTGGGGACAGAACCAGGGTGTTATAAATGAGAGGCAAGTTCATCCTAGCACCCAATGCACCCATATCTATTTTTTCCATATCTTTTCTTTTATGATTCTTTTTAACCTCTGTACTAAAACTGTGGTATGGCAACTTTCACTAGTTGCTAAGAGAGAAGACTCAGATTAACCACTGTTGGGACTAGGTTATTTTGAGGCCATTCAAATCAACTTACTGACATTAATTCTTGGTTGCTGAGCTAGGTAAATGATGCATGAACTCTCTCCACTGCAGAAACTTCAAATTTCTGCAAATACTATATTACCAATACCATATTCCTACCAATCCAGGCAGTGCTTCTCAAACTCAGGGTGTATCTTCCAAGAGGTACAAAAGAGGTATTTGAAGTTATAAGAGTATCAGTTTAGTTAGTAATATAAAGCATCATTTAAAAATATTTAAACAGATATACATGGAATAAAATGCAACACTAACATGAAAATTTTAATGTAAAATATAAGACTTCAAAAGAACTCTGTGCTTTTAAGTATATTTCTGGGTCTTTCCAGGTATACAGTTCAATTTTGAGTTAGGAACAATTTATTGAAAAGCATTAGGAAGCATTGCACAGGTGCATCCCAGGAGCCCTTGGTCTCTGTAAATTGCCTCCTTGTGAAATATCAAAGTCAAACATATATTTTTTTTTCTTAAAGAGGGGGATTTTCTTCCTTTCTTTGCTCTCTTTAGCTAGAGATTTTTCACCAAGAGAAACTAAGAAAAGAAATGGAGGTTAAGTTTTCCATGGGCTGTTTTTGAAGTCATTTCAGACCAAAACAAACCAAACCCAGACCCAAACCAAACCAAATCCAACAAAAACATATCTAAGTGTCTCCTTAGATTTTAGGGGGAAGAACTTTTAAGGAGGAAATTTATTTTGGAGGAATATCAGGATTTTGCTCAGATGTACAAGAATGCTGACAATAAACATTCTGGTTCAGGGTTCTTAGGAGAAAACCTAGTAGACACATAAAAGACAGAACATTAGTCAACTCTTCAGAAAATAATTTAAATCCACTTTTGAAGCCTGATGAATAAAAGAACAGATTCATCAATAACTCCTTCATGAAGCTAGGTAAAGAAAATTACTTCTATAACTTATTTGCTACTCATCTATTAGCAGCTATATCTGTTTGACTTTGAAAACATATATATATATATATATATATACACACACATATATATAAACATCTATATATATAAAGTTTAAATACTCTAGATTGAAAAAAATCTAGTTTTAGACACTGAAATAAGTATGAGTAATATAAATATCAACAACTAATGGCTATAAACTTTTAAAGGTTATGTTTAGAAACAAACATGAAAGCCATTAAGAAACTCTAAGCACAGTGAAAAAAGAAATGTTTTACATTATTTTTAGCAGCAAGACTGCTTGAATTTCAACTGATATAAAATTCGTTTTTGTTATCTGAAACGTAATGACCAGATTTTTGTTAAAAAAGAAAATGGTAAAACCTTAAGTGAATCTAAATATATGACATATTTTCTCCTGTTTCTCTTGTTTTAAAGATAGAATAAAATTTCGATAAAAAACAAACCATAACTTCTAGTTTTAATTTAAGCCAGAATTTTTCTGAGTATTTCCCTAAACTATATATACACATAGGTACAATATTCATGTTTCTTAGGTTAAACTGGACATTTTCTGGGAGACCAAGAACTTTTAATTAATTTGAAGTTTTAAGGGAGCTTAGAAATGATTTTGTCTTTTTTTTTCTTTTTCTTTTTTCTTTTGTTGGTTGTAGGGCTTGAACTCTGGGCTCAGGTGCTATCCCTCAGCTCTTCAGCTCAATGCTAGCATTGTACCGCTTGAGCCACAGTGCCACTTCTGGTTTTCTAGTGGTTTATTGGAGATGAGAGTTTCATGGATTTTCTTGCCCGGGCTGGCTTTGAACGGTGATCCTCAAATCTCAGCCTCCTAAGTAGCTAGGATTATAGGTATGAGCCACTGGTGCCTGGCTTGGTTTTGAGTTGGATTCAACTGAGACCCAAAGGTATTGGAGAGACTCATCTAGAATGATAAACTGATTTGCTCACATCTGTAACCAGAGCCTTGGTTCCCGTGGTGCAAAGTGAGTTCAAACCTGGGCTCCCACAGGGACTTCACCAACAGGACGACCCCCTCGAGTGCCTATAGGTTTCTTGTTCTCCATAGAAAATGTTGGAAAAATGACTTTCCATAAGAATCATCCTGACTACTTCCTAGGGCAGGGGCTGGGGGTTGGAAACTTAAGGGATCATTCCTTATTTCTGCAATTATTGAGATTTTACTGCCAGCAGTGAGTTGGGGTAGACTTCACAACCTCCAGAAGAAACTACTTCCTTCCCCAAATGACAGTGTCTTCTCCCCAAACCTCCCCTTGTGATCTGTTCCCAGGCCTAGGTTCTTTTCATGGTAACTGATGGCAGAACCAACAAAGTGTGGTGACAGCCTCAATTAAATGGCTCTGCTTCTAGTTTGCCAAAAGCCACTTTCTAGAATTCTTATTTTGGCCTATTGGTGTCCTTGTTTCAATGTTGAATATAAAAGGAAAATACAGTCATATTTAGATGGCCAAAATACCTTTTTGTTTGTTTGTTTGTTGCCAGTATTGGAGCTTGAACTCACTTAAGGCTGGTGCACTGTCACTTGAGCTCAGCTCCACTTCCAACATTTTGGTGGTTAATTGGAGATAAGATTCTCAAGTGAACTTTTCTGCCCAGGCTGGCTTTGAACTGTGATCCTCAGATCTCAGCCTCCTGAGTAGTTAGGATTACAGGCATAAGCCAGTGGTGACTTGACTTTTAATTGTTTTTTTCTTTTAAAGAATTAATTTCCCAATATGGAGTGTCAATTCCAAAACTTTCTGTTGTAGGATATAATCTTGTATATATTTTCAGGTTTGTGAAGTCAATCAGTGTAATAGGCTGTGACATAATATGCAATTTGTTGGCAAAATTTCAAGCTTCAATTCCAAAGACTTTGATATCTGGTCATTAAATCTCACCTGTGTTCATGATTAATAAGTGAAATGATAAATGCTACCTCCAAGTAGAAGCAAGAAAGAAAAATGTACCCCATTGAATTGTACCACAAATAAACAAAAATACTGTATTCCTTTAAACAAATGTTACAAGAGCTTTATAAGCCAAAGCAAGATATGCAAGATGGTTTAAGAGGAGATTGCAGTTTTGCAACAGCAACTCTGTACAGCTCCTTCAGGCAGTAGCTGTGAAGGAAATACCTGTGACTCAGGAACTTATTTCCACCCATGCCTTCTGGACACTTTCGCATCCAGGCCCTGCTATTTACAAAGTTACGCATTTTGCAAGCTCAAAGCACCTTACTCCTCATAATTATGGATGCATGCAATGACATTTCATCCTTTCATGTGCAAATTCTAAAATTTGTGGTGACATAAAGTTAAACCTCGAACACCTGCCTACAATTTGAAATGAAAGGATCAAAAATGTCAGACATTGCCGAGCACTGGTTCCTAATAGAGCTTTCTTTATTTAGTTTACTGTTCTTCAGTTGTTTTTGTTGGTTTGTTACAAAATGCAGTCTTGACTCTTTTTATTCAAACAGTCCTCATTAAACTAAACTGTTCATGCCATGCAAAAATAATATTTTGTGCACTTTGGGGAGAGGGGCTTCCCATGTTTTAGTTCGCTCGCAGGCATTTTTTTCACCGCATTTTTAAGAAACAAGTGTTTTTAAATTTTATTGCTTTTATAACTAGTCACATGCTGGTTTCACGCGTGGGACAGTAACTGGTATCTCCTGGGTTGGAATGAATTTCTGGGGCGAACAAGTGGTTTTCCATCTTGCACCCCTCTTGGGTACTGTCCTTTTGGACTTCACCCAGAGCATGGCAAATGTCTTGCCTACAGTTGTGGCCTGTGTTCTGTGGGGAGGAAGAGCCCACACAACCCTCTTCTCTTAAAGGGTCTCTGACATCCTGAGGCTTATCAACAAAGCAATTGGGGCTGGAGTCTGCCTGTGCCTCTGACCTTGTCCCTTGGAGCTCCAAGAAATCTTCATCTTCTCCAGTATCGATTTCAGTGAAGCTCCTCCTCTCTCTGGAAGAGAAAGGGAAGAGTTTCTGTTTGGAAAACAGAGGAGACAGCACTTTGGAAGGTCCCTGACAGGGTGCTGAAACCTCAGTGCCCAGCAAGGGTCTTTCTGTTTGGGGCAGGGCTTCTTCCAAGAGAATGGTGCTGATATGCTGTGGGGTGGCGAGAGAAAAGTCTGCCGCTGTTACAGGCAGCGGCCTAGCAGTGCTGGGCGGGGTCTGGGGTGCACTGCCTCTATTTTCCTGAAAGTTCACTTTGAGCGATCTGGACTTTAAGGGGTTGCTCCCTTTCAACGAGCTCTTCGGACTGTCCGTGGCATTGTCAGATTGCAAAGGACCATGTGGGCCACTCTGGGATCTACCAGCCTCGAGGTTCACAGTTATATCAATTGGGGCATAGTCCAGTCTGGCATCCCTGGCGGCTGGCCCTTTCTCTCTGCTTAGCGTTAGAAATGGGGGACCCCTGGCTCTTTGGTGCTCTTCTGTCCCTGGGAAGTCAGTAGGGAACTTCATCTGCAAGTGAGACGCGGAGGGCGGTGGCAGGGGCGATCTCTCCGTCTCGGTAAAGTCGGTGGCACAGCTGGTGAAACTGTCAATGCTGGAGGTACTTTTCATGTCCACGATGACCTCGGTCTGCGCCACGGCCAGCTGTTCCTGGGGGCAGACCACCTCTTCCATTTCGATCTCTTCTTCGTAGGCAGATGGCCTCTCAGGCTGTTCTTGGCAGTCCGGGTTCGGGTGGGAATGAGGCTGTGTCTTGGTGATTTCATTATACAGCATCTCCAGTTTCTGGGCACTTAGATGCTGTGGGCTGGAGGAAGAAGTGTTATTCAGCTGTTCGTGGGAGTCTTTTTGGCTAACCTCCTGGTACTTATTCTCGTAAGACTTGTTGGAACTTGTTTCCGACAGAGCTTTCCTGGCCCATTTCCACCGACTTGGGGACAGGTGATTATCATCGGCCGAGTCCTTAGTGTTGGCGGACTCCCCGGCCTTCTCCACAGCTACGTCTATGAGTTCCATACTCCGAGCGAAGGCATCTTTCAAGTTCATAGACACGATGCTTCCATTCCTTTTGGCTCGCTCAAGAGCCTCTCTCCTCTTAATTGCTTTCTCCTGGCGTTTCTGCTCCTTGTAAAACTCAGAAAAATTGTTTACAATGATTGGAATAGGAAGTGCAATCACCAAGACCCCAGCAATACAGCACAGGCCTCCCACAATCTTCCCTAATAACGTTTTAGGGTAGATGTCTCCATAGCCCACGGTGGTCATGGTGATGGTGGCCCACCAAAAGGATGCGGGGATACTGGTGAATTTGGTAGCATCTTCGTCCTTCTCAGCAAAAAATACCAAGCTGGAAAATATCATTATCCCCATGGCCAGAAACAGTATCAACAAGCCCAGTTCGTTGTAACTCCGTCTGAGGGTGAACCCTAGAGACTGGAGGCCTGTTGAATGCCTGGCCAGTTTCAGGATCCTGAGGATGCGCATGATGCGGAAGATCTGAACCACACGTCTCACATTCTGGAACTGCAGCACGCTCTTGTTGGATTCTGTGAGGAAAATGGTGACATAGTATGGTAAGATGGCCAGCAGGTCAATGACGTTCAGTGGACCTTTGAAGAACTTCCATTTATTTGGTGAGGACAGGAATCGTAAAAGGTACTCCATGGTAAACCAAGCAATACACACAGCCTCTACATGTGCTAGCTGGCGGTTGTCATTGGGGTGACCAAATTCATCTGGTTCCTGCAGCTCTGGGAGTGTGTTGAGAGACAAAGCAATGGTGGAAAGTACAATAAACAAGATAGACACGATGGCCAAGATCTGGAAAAGAGAAGGAGATCCAAGTTAGTACATTCTTTTAGTTTGCTCCAGAAACTAGATGATACATGGCTGATGATCAGTTCTTTAAGTGATACGGAGTAGTTCAAGGTATTCCAGGAAGGATTTAAGAATTTAGGCGTTTGAAAAAAAAAGCTATTAGATGTTTGTTACCTTTTAAAATTCTCTAATGAATATAAGCACATTCACAATGTTTCATTTCACTTAAAAGACTCTTGTATATTAGATTCCAGGACTTAAGCAATTTGACATAAATCACTTCCCCTCTCCTTGCTTATTGTTCTGAGATACATTTATGTGGGTTTCAGCTACTTATAGGAATAGCCCATTGGTTGGAACAGTGTTTTTTGCTTGTTTGTGGTTTTTAGAAAATCACCTCTTCTGTCTCAGCTATCTTGAGTTTTCCTCTTAATCACCTGATTTGCCTTAAATGATTTGTCTTACATGCTACATAAGCTGGGCAGAATTCATGATCTTAACAAGTGTTATTCTTCAACAAACCACACAAATATAGAACACAAAAGGAAAGAGAATATGATATTTAGTACAAACAATGTTTCTTGTAAGAGCAAATACTTCTTATTGTGATTAGTTCCCGTAACAGAAGCAAGTCAAGATAGCTTCCCCCCCCCCCCGGAATCTGTGAATGTCTGGCCAGCATCTCATGTAGAGGAAGATTATGAGTTAACTTCATTCTGGCAAGGTAAACTTCATAAAGAAGAGTGTGAAGAATGACTGTGAGATCTCAGGGCAGAGCAGGGCATTCTAGGTAGAAGAAACAACAGTATAATATCTAGTGTGGAAGAAAACAGACAGAAAAGAGGAAGAAATAAGAAGAGGATTGAGCCTGAGCTTTGGCTGTAGCTGTACTGCTTACTATGTGACTTTGGACAACATATTTAACCTTCCTGTCTTAGTTTACAATTCATTGAATGAAGGCTATGGGCATAGGTATTTCATGGTCAATCTGATGATTACATAGCACAAAACAAAAAAGCTACTTATAGTGTTAGAATCTGAAGTCCTGAAATAGGAACAGTATGTGGGAAATCTGTAAACCACACAAGATAGAGACAAACCAAGAGACAATTTCCTTCCTGTAACCAGTGTTCTAGATTTATGGGGAAAAGCAGGAAAGTTGAGATTTGAGGACAATGCAAGGAAGTGCTTCTTTGCTTAGTAGAGATTGAATTTAGAATACAAGTCTTGGTGGAGTAGGAAACATCCCATACCTAGGTTAGGTTTGGCTTGGATTCACTTGACCTTTTCCCATGACCTTAGTGGAAGTTTTTGGTCTCAGTTATTAAAACCAAGAAAAATACTCTGACAATGACTTGTTTTTAACTTTAGAGCGTCAGTACTCAGTTAACATGTCAAAAAAGATTATGACTAAATGTACTGATTATGATGAAATATACACAGTTCAGTTACCTATTGGACTGAAAAAAATTAATTTGCATCAGCACTCTGACTTGTTTTTCCTTTATTTTCTCCTTTGTCCCTCTAATTTTCTCTACTTCTGGGTTATTCCCTTCCCCCTTTGCTTTCTCTTCTTATGTCTCCTCCATACTTTTTATTGTTTCTCTTCCTATTCTTTCAGCTCTCATATTCCCCTTTAAAGTGTTTTGAAAGAAAAATATAGTATAAAGCATTTCAGAATGCATTGCAGAGATTACATAAAGATGCATGACTCTAATGGAAAAATAATGCTTTGTTATTAGTGTTTATATTTTTTTTCTTGGAACCAGATATTTTTTCTTGACTGTATTTTAGAATTTCCTTTAAAAAGGGTGAATCAGTGAATCACAATAGCAAAAGATTGTCTTCAGCTGAAGGCTGATATTAGACCCTTCCCCAGGAAGAATCATTTAGATAAACTCATGAATAATGCATTCATATAGCTTTTTATTAAAGTCAAGACGAGAATGCTCACCTTGAATATCTTCCCTCACAAGCCAATGCAGGGCAGCGTCTATGCTGTTCTGCCACTGAAATATTCCTGAGGAAGGACTGACTGGATCACAACCATTTTCATGTTCTTATCATAAGGACATAGGTCTATGTGTGTATTTCCTAGGATGACACACTGTTGCTAATAGATATTTGAAGTTTTTTTCCCTAAGAGTTTTGTCAGTGTGATACATATTAAATCATTTTTCCTCCTTTATCCTCAATACAAGATTTCAACATGCAGCAGAGGTTAGCCTAGTCCTGACTTTGCTACCTAGCCCAGGCTGCCACTGCCTTCTCCCTTTCCTCCTCCTCCCCCACCCTCTTCCTCCTTCCACTACACCCTCCTCCCCCAACCCTCTACTCCTCTTCCTTTTCCTCCTCCTCACCTACCCTCCTCCTCTTCTTTCTCCGTTCCCCCCACCCCCTTCTCCTCTCCCAACCCTCCCCTCCTCCTCCTCCTCCTCTTCTTCCTCCTCCTCCTCCTCTTCTTTTCTATCCTTCAACATATTCTTCTTTAAATTATTTAATATATACATAATAAGGTTTATCAATTTTTTGACCAATCTCCAGGGCACAGTTCAGTGGCATTAGGCAGATTCACATTGTTATATAACCAGCACCACCATCCCTCACCAGAATGTATTCCTTTTCACAAAGCTAAAAATTGGATCATATTGAACAAAAACTACTCATTTTCTCCCTGCTTCAGAGACCTTCACAGTCTTTCTCCCATAAATTATGCTACTCTACGTACCACTCCTAAGTAGAATAATTTTCACTGTGATTTTTGTATCTGGCTCACTTTGCTAAGTATAATATCCTCAAAATTAGTCTGTGTTGTAGCACATGTGAAAATTCTCTCCCTTTTCAAAGTTGAGTATTATTTCATTGTATAAATAGACCACATATAGTTTGCCTGTTCATCTGTAAATGGACACTTAGGTTTGTTTTGATCTTCTGGCTCTAAATGTTGCTATAAATATGGGTGTGCAAATATTTTGTGGCCTCAAATTCTCATTCTCCTGTCTTTGCCTCCCGAGTGCTGGGATTACAGGTTTATAGTATCACACCTGGCTCTGGACATTTTAATATTGAGATTTCTATTATCATTCTTCTAAAAAAATTTAATTATCCCTGAGTTGCTGTAAAAACGGGTTTCAGTTCAACAAATCGGTTTATTAATACATATATCTTGATCAGCATCACCTCTTCAATTGTGATCCCCATCTGCTATCATGCTCATACTAATACTCATATTCTAGATTTTCCACATCTCATTAAGTACCATGTCTATTTTGGTTGCATTTTGTTTGTGTTTATAACCTCAAAGAGAAAAACAAAATACATCAAGCAAATGAGTATATTTTATTATCTTCCAGCCTTTGTCTACCTCTGTGGTAGAGACCCACCTCACACATGCTAGGGAAATGCTTTGCCACTGAGCCACACCCCAAGTGCCCATTTTTCAACTTTTTAGATAAAGAACAAAATGGAAGATCCAAAAAAAAGACTTGAGTTTTCTTTGTCTTCATACCCAGAACTAGATTTGTGGGTCACTTTATTTCTCCCACCAACTCTGGGAAAACCACTAATACTGTATAATACTTTAATGCAATCTGAAGTCTAGTTGATTGCAATTTAACACATGGAAATTTAGCATATGTACAAATGACTGAGAGAATATATTTTCTTGGAAAAGAATTACTGAAAGAAAAACCAAACACGAAATCTCTTAGCAACTCTATATTCATGTTAGGGAAGCCATAAGGTATTAAATAAATTATTTTATGTCTCATGTTGAAATTCAATCTGTCAAAACTCATTTGCTCTCAATTTAGAAGAATGGCATATTTTAAATATCTTGTGATGCTTAGAGTTCTCCACAAAGACAGCATTTTAGACATATTACTCAATGTACATCAAAGGTGATGTGTGGAACAATAAGTCAAATGCATACTTATTGCCTTGTTGGAGTGTTGATTTCTAAAAATAGACTAAATATAACAAATGTGAAGTTTTTCTGTGCGTAACAGGATGAGCTTCTAAACATAGACATTCACATTAACACAGCAAATGCTGGCATTTAGGTGTTGCTTTGTTTATCATAACTATGCACAAGTTAGGACATTGCTGACTTGGGTTTTAAATTTATGTTACCTTCAACAATTGGCCTCTAGAGCTGGCAGGAGTCAAAAAGGTTTCTTTCAGCTTTGGCAAGTAGATTTGTGTTTGCACATGGCAAAGCAAGTGAAGGTTCCAAGCAATTATCTGTGCAATGTTGGCCCAACCTCCTTTGCAATTTGGATTAGGTCATATCAAGGTTTCTTTACCTCTAACATTGGTGGTTTAGTGTCAAAACTAAGATGTTTTGCTAATTCTAGTAGAACTATAAACCAAAACCAAGGACCAGTTAAAAATGACCTTGACATTTTGGGTCAGTGAGTAGGGAAAATTAAACTTTGTTGCTTAGAAAATACAAAATTCGAAAGGGAAGGCTTAAAAATTAGTGTCATATAAGCACCAAAGGTTTATTTACTAGGAATTGACGTTCTTTCTGGAAAAAGCCTTTTTTTTCTCTTGAATTGCCTGGATGACTATTACATTCTTTGCTTAGCTAAGGACATTCATCAGACCACATGAGCGAAGAACAAGGCTTTCCAAACTTTCCTTACAACGAAACTCAAAGGTGGTTGTATTGGTTTCCGTTTGTAAGAGGAAACAAGGCAGCTGGAGATTTGCCACAATTGTCCCAACTACCTCTACTGGCCTTGTGGTTCAGCTAGTTCCCTCCCTGAGCTTCAATTACTTCATCACTAAAAAGGTGTCTCACTTGCTTCAGAGACATTTACATAAGTTATACTGGATCATGTCCATAAAAGCAGCCTATAATATGGAAAGCGTAAAGCATGTAAGAAATGCTAGATACATTGTAAAATTTCTTTGACCAGTTTTGGTGGTGAATACTATACACTTAAGCTTTCTTTCCCCTTTAAATACAATTTCAGGCCTATTCATATTTTTAGCACTTT